GGCGAAAATATGTTGCGGGACTATCGTTAGCAAACTACAGTAATTTTAGCGATATTTTTTTAATTTTTTAATTTTATTTTTTACAAACGTTTCTGTGAAGAAACTGACCGTCAATATGAACACAATATTGAATGTAACATAAAGCAAATCATTATTTGTCGTTACAATACTTATTAAAGCCACAAATACTTACATTTATGGGTCTCCTTTTTCGCTTGGGCAGCCATTTTGCGTCTGTAGCCTGGGTTAGCAGTGACACTTCTCATACCCCTTCGTTTGAAGTGTGCTCCCGAAAAATCTTCGTTTGAAGGGCTATCTGGCCCTTCCCCCTAGCCCTCCCCCTCCAACCAAAAGAGAATTGGGACAGCCCTACCCCTTCACGTGGACGCGCAAAACGGAGGGGAAGGGGAAAGTGAAGGGGTAAGGGGTAGAATTGGGATTGGCCCATAGTTTCTAAAGTTGGTTTCAGTTGGACTCATATCTAAATATTATAAAATCACAATTATAACAAAAATAAAATACTTTTTGTCAAAGTTTAGCCTTTGTTTTTGTACTGAAAAAACAACAGTTTTTCAATAATGTTACATAATGTTTAGAATCAAACCTGAACAACATGTTACAAAGAGAAATGAGTCCTAAGATTTGATCATTTATTTCAACTGAACAGCAATAACAAATTAGCAAATAAAGCAGTAAAAATAAATTATTTGTAAAAAAAAAAAAAAAAGTGAATTGGGAAGAAAATCGAACAACTAGGAACAATAGTTTGGAACAATAGAACAATAGTTGGTCTCATTTCTTTTATCTTTTTTTATAGCCTTACAAATGTATTCCTGTGTGTGTGTGTGTGTGTGTGTGTGTGTGTGTGTGTGTGTGTGTGGGTGTGTGTGTGTGTGTGTGTGTGTGTGTGTGTGTGTGTGTGTGTGTGTGTGTGTGTGTGTGTGTGTGTGTGTGTGTGTGTGTGTGTGTGTGTGTGTGTGCGTGCACATTTTCAATGTGTCTTAGTGTTACCAGTTTATTTTTGCGGTGGTTCTGCATTTTAGAGTATTTTATTTTACAAATGATAAGAGAACAGTTTTTATAGTCTGTACTGTATGTATTCCTGTATATTGTATTCCTCTATATGTGACCCCGCCTGTGAACCCCCGGCTAAAGTCGCAGAATCTAATTATGAATAAAAGAGTATTCAAAGTAGTCATAGCCATAAAAATGACAAAAATAGGTAATGTGTGTTTATTGCTGTAAATGATAGATTATTACAAGGGTTTTGAGATTCAAAACTCAAATTTTAATTTATAACATGATAAATACTAAAATTAATGATTTTATTGACACTATGTTATACTTTTGTGCAGCAAAAAAAAAAAAAAAAAAAACGGACGCAGGCTTTAACATTGATTTCAGACGTATCCGGGTTTATTTTTCGGTGCAACAATACTTGCTGATTCTTATCATTCAGTTCAGGAACTTCTTTTTTACTCATTTTCTATTAGAAAGAGTAAACGGACCTTAAAATCAATCCGCACGAGTGGCAATTCGTGAGAAAAAAAAATGCGACTTCAGCTGGCCGGTTAAGATCTGAGGAGGTGTTTCCGTGTCATCGCCAAACATTTAACTTAAGAACAGCTTATGTGTTTTGTAGCTCTGTATTCTGCCAATAATATTATTATATTATATTTTATTTGTGTCTTATAAGTGTCAATAATATTATTCGTTTGCTGGATTAACTGTTAACTATGTCGTTTTGACATCTGACATGGCAGCACCAGAGCATGTGCAGGAACGTAAAATGTCTGATTGCTTAAACAGCTTGTTAGATATTAATCTCGGTGGAATTGCCCAAATTATGATTTAAGCGGTTTTATAGTGGATTATTTTCTGGAGGATAATGGTGATCATGAACAGGACACATTCTTTGACGAAACTGAGGAGGAATTTGACGGTAAGTTTTTGTCATTATAATTTTTTTAATGCTGGACATGTAATATACTGTCAGTGTTCAGCCAATGTAATGCTAACACAGAATTCAAACTATGACGCAAACATAGTGGACGACGCATGCGCGAGAACTGAACTGAAGTAGTTGAAGGAGATCGCAATTCTCACGCATGCGTCATGGAAATCGTATTGAAGTCTCGTTTCAGGCCAACAAGGAAGAAAAGGAATAGTTGAATAAAGTCATTATTTTTGTTTGTTTTTTCGCACAAAAAGTATTCTCGTCGCTTGATAAACTTATAGTTGAGCCACTGTAGTCACATGGAATATTGAAACATTTTCTTCATTGACTTTCTGGGCTGACAAGAGTCATTCCCTTAGGAGCCTATGTGGTAGTTATACAGCTCTCAAATTTAATAAAAAATATCTTCATTTGTGTTCCGAAGATGAACGAAGGTCTTACGGGGTTGGTACAGCATGGGGGTGAGTAATTAATGACTTAATTTTCATTTTTGGGTGAACTAACCCTTTAAAATATCTTATTTTGTGTTCAGCAGAAGAAAGAAACTCAAACTGGTTTGGAACAACATGAGGCTGAGTAAATAATGACAGAATTCAAATTTTTGGGTGAACTATCCCTTGAATTATTATTATTTTTTTTATTATTTTTTTTTTTTTCACTCCAGAGAATGAGATTTTCTGCCGAAATGTTACATGTTAATTAATTGATATTGATACATTATTGATATTATATTTGCACTGATATTTCATTTCACTAATAAAGTTATACAAATCATTCCACTGAATTGACATGATAATTGTTGCTACAATCATGCTCTTGTGATGGCTCATTCGTTTCAATGTTTTTAGCTTTTTGGACATGCGCATTATAATAAATAGGCCTGTTTTATAAAACTTTAAGAATTTTCCCAAAAATGTGTCATATCACTAAAAAAAGGAAGAATCTCAGCTTTAATGTGGTATATAGCACATATGGAGGATAATTATGGATCAAATTTGTATTGTTGCAGTTTTAAAAATAAGCTTTTTTTTTTAAATTGGAATTTCTCCAAAACATGATTTTCTGAGCCCGGAATTCAGCAAATCTTTAATATAGGCTTACCCAGTCAATATTAAAGATATCAAGGTTATATTTTCACAGAATGTTCTTTACATTATGTAGGATGATTGTATGTAGAAAACAGTGAATCACAAAAAAATTACTTTAGCTGGGTTTTCACAGGCAGGGTCACATATGTGTGTGTTTGTGTGTGTGTGTGTGTGCACGTGTGTGAGCATGATAATTTTGGATTGTGGAAGTTTTTTGCATTTTTGAAAGTGTGCCACTTTATTTCTGTCATTTCTGTCTGTGCTCTGTGTTATTTCTGATTTTGATGATGAATTTTGTCTATTTTGAGTCCAATGATAAATATTTATTTATTTATTTATTTATTTATAGATATGTAAAAGATATCATAAATCCTCCAAAAACTGCGCAAATGTTGAGTAAAAACATTAATAAACAGTAAAATAATATTTGTAAAAAATAAAAAAAACGATTGTTCTGTTACAAAATTAAATGTTATTTTTTGGGGTCCAATGGACCCCAAAGACCATGAGTGTGACTATTTTTGTCACGCCTACATACAAACGGATAACATTCCATTTTATTTATTTATTTTTTTTGTAGATCTAGACAGTGTTGTTGAGAGCCGTAGGAAGTTTCATACCATTTGGAAAAAGAGAACATTTTTTTTTTAATTCAAGCAAAAGTCATTTGGGGTCCAATAGACCCCGAAGACCATCAGAGGGTGTGATGCGATCACCTACAGTATTTACCATGTGAAAAGCGCTGGAGAACGAAAAAACTACCTCTCATTGGTTTCAAACGGATTACATAAACTGGAAATATTTTTTTATAAATTACTTCATTTAAAAGAAGAGAATATAAGCTTTAAAAAGACATATATCTCGTGCCTGTGTGACAAGTATTGAGTTACAATTAATTTTTAGTACGGGTTTAAGAATGGACTTCCCTGACAGAGAGAACGCAAAACTTGCATCATGTTTATTTTTCTTTATTTGATGAAAAGCAGAACACTTTGTTTTTATTGTGAGTATCCACAAAAAAATAGAAACTTAACAGGATCTAATGATGTATAATACTTATATGTAAGATCAAAATCAACTGAGTATTTTGAGTCTCTTTTGCACTGATAAGAAAAAAGTGAGCCTATCGCACCGGCGCGATAGCCGACCCCAGGAGGTTTTAAGCATGCAGACCAACCACCCAGAACATTACAATAATCTAGCCTTGAGGTCATGAACTAATTGTTCTGCATTTTTAAATGAGAGCATATTGCGCAATTTAGATATATTTTTAAGATGGAAAAATGCAGTTTTATAGATACTAGACACGTGACTTAATAATATAGAAGCTTAATAAATAGAAGCCTGATTGAGGGTCTGAGGGAGAAGGCCTTTTTTGAATTATTCATTAAACACATCCAATAATAGATGGGAACGTTTTTGCCAAAACACTTTATAGAATTCCACCAGGTACCAATCTCGTCTTGATCTTTTCCCAGACTGTAAGGAAGAAACAGCTACATAAAGTTCTTCATTAGTAATTATTTGATATAATTCCTCTGAAGTTGATTGTTCAATGCAATTATTTATTTTACTGAATTGCAGCCTTTGTGGTTTCACAATAGCACTATGCTACATATATTATGATTTTTAAATGGTTTTAATATAGCGTGCAGTCTTTGAAAACAACACTTTGTGCAGTCTAATTATGCGGTTTATGGATTCTCATCCGTGAAATGTGCCACTCCCGGTATTTTGCCGGTCAATCAACACAGGAAAATTGCAATATTTTTTTTTTTTTTTTTTTTTAAATCGAGTAGCCCTAATAGTTTGGTCACTTAGGCGAAATATCTTAGCTTAACTACTATTTAAACAGTTTTTACTAAATGAAAATAAATCATTACTAATCAATATTGTAATTTCCTTTTTTTTGCTTTTTGATTATTTGTTTATTTATTTATTTAATTATTTTTCAGTTAAAAAGAATGTTTAGAAAAGAAGTGGGAAAGAAAATTCCAGAGAATGCAGACTCGCAGAGTAACAATTCACAGTCAACAGAGAAAACGGAAAGCATAGAAGGTACTGCACTTTGTATTCACTTTTAAACCACAAACTTAACTGATTTGTCAATAGTCAGCATGGTCCATGTAATTGTTTCTTCAATATCCTATTCAAATATGTCTTTAATCTTTCCCTTTATTTTGATACTAAGAAATTCTCTGATATTTTGTACCATGTCTTATGCTCCAGGTGAAAAGAGATCAGTGCAGGAACAGGATTGTTCTGATGATAATTATGTTCCATGCTACCCCAACAATGGTCCTGTTCCATGCCAGGATGCTCTAGAGGAGGGAAAAGAACCACCATTGGATGGTCTTCAGGGACAATGGGCCCATTTGGGTGACCAAGACTCAGATGAGGACCCAGGTGATGATACAGATGATACCAGCTCGGTCACTTCCTCTGCCAGCTCTACGGCCTCACTGCAGAGTGGCCCAACACGGAAAAAGAGCATTCCTCTCTCTATCCGCAACCTAAAGAGAAAACACAAGAAGAAGAGGACTAAGTTTTCGCGCGAGTTTAAACCAGGAGACAGGTGAATGAATGTTTTGCATTAGAAATTTCATTCTGTGCCAGATAAATGTTGTAAATCAGAGTGCAATACAAACAATTCTAAATAACTGAATGATTTTCTTGACCTTTGACACTGGATATGGTTATAAGGCATATACTGTCTGTCAGGGCATGGTTCGTGATTCATTTTTTTTGGTGCCAGGTTAAAAACCATTAGGAGTTTAGAAAGTCCAGGAAACCATTGAAAAAATTTTGAACACTGAATGCAGTGAAAACATTGCTCCCTTGGAGTAAGTTACTGCAATGAGATCTGACCCAATGACTAAACAGCAAAAATAAATACTTTAGGTAATAAACATACTAATTAATGCAGGAACAGTGCATTTCAGTGCAATATCATTATAATAAAATCATTAAGTTGAATTGCAACTAAAATTGTTAAAAATTATTATTATTAAGATTTCTATCAGTTTTGATCATTTTGTTTTGTGGTTCTATGGATGAAACAAAGTCAAAATAGAATTTTGAAGTATATGCTTAGAGACTAGGAACAGTATAATGAAACCTTACCTTGAGCTCTGTATCGTTCACTTGTTCTCATAGTATGGAGATGACTGAGGAGACGTGTTTATCACTCTGGCAAAACATAGACGTTTTTTAATTTCTCTTGCAAACGTTCTTGCAAACGTGCATATATATATTATTTTTGTAATTTCTTTCTAGCTCACTAGAAGAGAGACAAAATGGATCATATTACCAAAAAAAAAGCGTATTGCTTATTTTGAGATGGAACTTACCGCACATCCAAAACAATTATATAAAATGAGCTTCTAAAATGTGTAAAGGAGTCACAACAGCGACAGGAATCCCTCTGTCACACACACAAGCGATCTGCTGGGAGGAGTACTTTAAACTGCTTTAAGTCTTTCTTTGAAGGGGTCATATCATAATATTATCATTTCTGTCAAATTAAATAAGACCTCAATTAGAATAGACTCTTAAATGGTATGTCTGTTTGTGCGTAGGGTGGCAGTTGAGGTTGTCTCCACTGTAACCTCTGCAGATGTGATGTGGAAGGATGGTAAATTAGAGACAGGGATCTGCTCCAATGATCTGATCCCTATCCAGCACCTGGACAACCATGAGTTCTGCCCTGGAGACTATGTACTAGACAAACGACGTATGTTCTTTTTATAACACGGTTGTCGTTTTCAATATGGCTCTTTATTGTTTCATGCCTTTATTTGTTGGAGCTTGCTTAAAGGACAACTCCGGCGCAAAATGAACCTTTGGTCTAATTACACATTGCTACCTAGTCAACCGTTATCTGAGATTTGTTTTCATGATTGCCGAATGTAAATAGTTTTATCTCTAAAAACAGTTTAGCCTATAACGCTAGTATATGGGGCATAGAGTAATGACAAATAAAAATCGCTTGTTATTACCACTAACAAGGCTCAAAATAGCCCCACACAAACACGACAGCATAATAAGAGCCCCTACATTCAAACCGAAGCATTGAGAACTTTGTCAGTGTCCAAACAGTTTAATAAGAAGATATTTTATACACACAGTCAACTTCGCGAATACAGGAAGAAGCCATCTTTAAAAAATAGTCTCTACCAGTCGGTCTACGACTGCCAATCCAAGTGCGGTGAACTGTGCAGAATCTCATATGGTCCGTTGTTTTCGGAAGAAACACAAACACGAACCGTTTCTTCTCTTAAATATGTATATGTAGACTACTGTTAATGCTCTCCTTATCACCTTATTCACATCTCACCAGCGCACTTGGATCTGCGTTCGTAGATCGACTGGTAGAGACTATTTTTCAAAGATGGCTTCTTCCTGTATTCGCGAAGTTGACTGTGTGTATAAAATATCTTCTTATTAAACTGTATGGACACTGACAGTTCTCAATGCTTCGGTTTGAATGTAGGGACTCTTATTAAGCTGTCGTGTTAGTGTGGGGCTATTTTGAACCTTGTTAGTGGTAATAACAAGCAATTTTTATTTGTCATTACTCTATGCCCTATATACTAGCATTATACTAGCGTTATAGGCTAAACTGTTTTTAAAGATAAAACTGTTTACATTCGGCAATCATGAAAACAAATCTCAGATAACGGTTGACTAGGTAACAATGTGTAATTAGACCAAAGGTTCATTTTGCGCCGGAGTTGTCCTTTAAGTATCAGTAAAGGCCTTATATTAGGTTGATTACAATTGAATTGTCAAATAGATAATCTAACCTAACTTGATTCGATTTTGCACTTTACTCACTTAAAATAAACCCTGTTTATTTTGGCTCCTGCAGCCCAGGCTCTTCATGATCCAGGCATCTATGGGGTGGTTCAGTCAGGTGATCATAAGGCCAGAACCTGTGTAGTCAAGTGGGTCAAACTCAATGCTGCAGGCGACAATGTTGAGGTATTTTTGATATTGTGATTAAGAGATGTTTGGGATTGTCTATTTTCATATTGTTTAACTAATATTAAATGTAGGTGATTGGGGAGGAGGAGGACGTTAGTGTTTATGACATTGCTGATCATCCAGATTTCCATTTTCACACAACGGATATTGTCATAAGGATCGGCAACTCTGACACAGAGGACTGTGAAAATGAGGTACAAGCGTAATTTTTGTTTTTGTTTACTTTTTCAGGCTTATGACATTGCCAGTGTGCATTTAAGTGGAAAATGTAGCTCCCCATTGTCATTTTTGTTATTCAATTCACCTAGTATTTTTTTATTTATTTAATGTAAAACTGGTTTTATTATTTGTGGTTTTATTTAAGTGGACAAAATGACTTGGTGCGCTTATAAGGTTATTTGATAGTTCTTCCTTGTTTTTAGCATTTTTTTAAAAAAAAATCTCCATGGCATTTTCTCCACTGTCCATGTAGAGATCTGTTGGCCAAGTGTGCAGGGTGGATCTGAGCAGTAAAGTGGAGGTTGTGTGGGCTGATAATTCAAAGACTATTGTTCTGCCACAGGTATGCACCAGTCTATAGAGCTATTTAATTTTAAACTGATAAATTATTTGCTACTGAATGTGCACACACTCACCTATGACCCTGGAACTAACACTAATGTATTCTTTCTCTCTTAGCACTTGTATAATGTAGAGTCTGAGATTGAAGAAACATATTATGACTCTGCTGAGGGCAGCAGTAGTGGTGCCTCATCTGAAGAATGGGAAGATGAGAGTGATAGCTGGGAGACAGATAATGGACAAGTGGAAGAGGAACCAGGAGGTGGGGAGACCTTCCCAGTCTCTTCCCCCAACACAGGTGTCACTTCTGATTGCAAAACCCATGGCGTGCATGCTTCCACGACTACAGACTCACCAGGAGCTGTCTCCACACCTGAACTTCCTGGAGGTAATGAATCTCTTACAATTGTATTATAGGATTAAGTATCAGATAAAGTGTTCACTCTGGTCCATTCATATTGTTTTACAAGAGAAAAAATGGGTACAGAAAATGTTTTCCATCTTAAGTGAGATTATCTGTAGGGAGTATACAGATAGTACTCTACCAGAATCTGGTTTTTGCCACCATTTTTTTTTCACCATGGACTGTGCTTTATAATGCAGTAGCCAACTAATACCCCATATAATATAAAAAATAAAACAAAAGTCTTAATTTGTATTATGTATGTAATTTTCTCAGTGTAATAAAAAACAAACAATAGAAATGTGAATTATATAGGCTATACATTTGCATGGTCGTATTAAGTGTGAAAGCGTAGTTTATAGGCTACTTGAGTTAGGATTTGCATGGTAGTATTAAGAGTGTTTAGATAATAGCTCAGTGGGCAGCGTGATAACACGTGGTACAACTTCTCAAGGCGATTCAAGTTCGAGTCCCAGTTCAAGATTTTGGCTGCTCAAGTATACATCAGTTTGTTGTCTAGTTTAATGATTGTCACAAATAAGAACATTTGAAAGGTACATTTTATTGATTCAATTCAATTTATTGAACCCTTTTCGGAGCATTTTGATTTGTCTGTCATTTTTATTAGTAGCTTATGTTTAATTTTAATTGATGGGCTGGGCCTGCTTAACTCTTTCCCCGCCAGCGTTTTAAAAAAAAGTTGCCAGCCACCGCCAGGGTTTTTGACGATTTTCGCTAAATTTGAATGCCCCGCTGAATATTTTCTTCCATGAATATATGAAGATGATATATATAAAAATAAAGATCTGAGCCTCTGCTTTTAGGCAAAAAAAACGTTTTTATTTTATCTTCATCTGTTCTTTTTTTATTGCCTCTTGAACAGAGGTAGGTTTTGTCAAAAACACAACATTTTGGACAAAAAACTGAGAAAAAGGTATTTTTATCAAACAAGTGCATTTAAAAGCAGAATACATTCAGATGTTGTTTCCTTCATATATAAAACTTTCCAAAATAAATTAAAAACATAAAATAAATGTAAAATATATCAAATTTCCCAGGATGTAAGGGAAATGTAACTTTTGCAATAAAACTTCTGCCTCTGCCTCTCTGTGTTCTACCTGTGAATAATGAATAATTGGAATTACAATAAACAGGCCTAGACACACACACACACACACACACACACACAAATACATATTACAATGTGGTAAATGTGCACAAAGAGAGAAATAATTTGACAATTACACCTTCATATTTAGACAGCCACACATAAATGCCTGCACACACACATACATATTATAGTGTCATAATATTATACGATCTATCTGCGGCACGTCCATGGCTAGAACTTTCTGTGACAACATGTGCATCTCTCTCACTGACTACTTCGTCCCGATCAGATTCAGAATTATCAAATAAAGAGTGATCGGACTCCGAGTCCATTAACCTCCAGTACTTCAGCCATATACCTCTGCATTGTCTGTCTGATACATTCTCACTACTCCACTGTTTGAGACGATTGCAATCTGTTTCTCTGATCAAAGAGTTGCGCACTCATTCAGGACATGCGGGCGGGTCTTCCTTACCGTATACCACCTAAAACACGGATACCCGGAAAATTCCGTGTTTGGCGCAGATGCGTTTTTTCATTAAACACGGAAAATTCCGTGTTTGGCGGGGAAAGAGTTAATGACAACAACATTGTAAATATTTGCGATGCAACACTGGCGATGCAATACTGACGTCACATGAACGTTAGCTAGAACGCTAATGAGAGGCGAGACCGGAGTTGATAAGTGGATAAGACACATGCCTTTGGTGTGAGAGAGCCGGGTTCAAATCACCAATGTATACCTGAGCAAGACACTTAACCCCTAGTTGCTCCAGAGGCATGCGACCTCTGACATATATCGCAATTGTAAGTCGCTTTGGATAAAAGGATCAGCTAAATGAATAAATGTAAATGTAGTTATAGCCTACTGTTGGATAATATTTGTTGCTTTCATGGTAGGCTAGATTTATAGTCTAAATGTTGGCAAAATAATTATGTTGTAACAACTCAACGTGTTTTAGAACTGCACAACACAAATCTCTGCATAAAAACAGTATGTTTGGGGTTTGAACCAGGGTCATTGACATTGCTGACCAATGCTCCACCACTCAACTACGAATTGATTTTCTGAGAAATTAACAAAAGTTCCCTTTTCCAATCAAGTAATATATAAGTCATAAGAAATCAACATCATAAAAACACAAAACAAATCAAGAAAGTAAAGAAAAGAAGATGGATCCTCCAAAAGACATTGAAATGAAAGAGGATATGTACTCTCGTATTCATAGTACTTTTCCAAGTGTTTGAAATAAGCGGCTTCAAGGCGCTTATTTCAAACATTTGGAGGACTTCATTTGGGTCTCTTTTGCACTGATAAGGAAAAAAGTGAGCTTGTCGCACCGGCGCAATAGCCGATCCCAGAGGGTTAATCTGGAAATGTTTTGACTTTAATCTCGAAATGCTAGAATTTTTTTTTTTTTTTTTTTACGCTGCGGTACAGGGCTTCCATAAATATGTATCTGCCATGTAATATGCTGATATGGCAATAAACTCAAATACCAGTACAAAAAAACAAAAACATCAGTGGCATCACTAGGTTTTCTGGGCCCTTTGTACGTTCACACCCACTTTTTCCCACTAGATATGGCCCTGTACATTAGTGTTGTCTGTCTTTGATGTTGCAATTGATGGTGTTTTCACCTAAAAGCTAATTATTGTTCCTTGCATAGGTGGAGTTGCTGCGCCTGAAGATAAGCCCAGTAAAGAGACTCCACCACGGGGATTTCGTGAGCTTAAAGAAGCCCTAAAGATTTTGGAAAGTTTAAAGAACATGACTGTTGAGCAGCTCTGGACTGGATCACCCACTTCACCCACTGCCGAACCATCAGCCGCAACTGCTGCCACAACCCCTGCTGATGCCAAACCCACAAAAGAAAAACGCTTTCTGGATGATATTAAGAAACTTCAGGAAAACCTGAAAAAGACTCTAGACAATGTGGCCATTGTAGAAGAAGATAAAATGGAGGCTGCTATAGAGGAGGAGAGAGTGATGGCGCCAGTGCTAGCTGAACCACAGACGCCTGTGCGTTCTGAGTGGCCTAGTGACACACCAGTTTTGTGTCAGCAGAGTGGAGGCAAACCGGGTGTCACCTTCACCAGTGCTAAAGGGGAAGTGTTTTCTGTTTTGGAATGGGCACCAGGTACTTACTGTACACCAAACGTTTTTATTTTTTATTTTAAATAACATTAGAATTATTAGGGCTGCCCCCTAATATTCGACTAATCAGTCAACTAGAAAAGCCATAGTTGACCAAAAATAGTTTTAGTCACATTGCTGGTTTGTCACTTCCTGTGGAGTTTTTTTTTTTCTGTGACTGTCACACAGTCCATGAGGGACAGAACGTTAATGGCGGGTTCTTGTGGTAATTACTAGGGCTGGGTAATAAATATCGATTTCTCGATATTAAACGATTCTCATTTTTACGAACCGATATCGATTCTCAAATCTCAAGAATCGATTAGTCATCCTGTTTCATTTGAATGAATGTGACATTGTATCGCGGCTGTGCGCATCCAAAAAAATCGCAATAGTCTTTGTCCTTTGTTACTATTGATATGAAACAAAGTCCCAATTTTCAAATTACGCCCATTTTCTTTAGAAATTCAAAAACATAAATAATGTTTTGGCGCTGTGGCGTGAGATCGCTCTGGCGCAGCTCAAGAGAAGCAGCGGCGCTGATCTCTCTTCCGGGTTAATAATGCAAGTTACAGCGCGAAATAAACATGAATGAGCATCTGAAAGTGTGGTAAAAGATAGAGTACAACTTATCTAAATCCGTATCATGTCACATTGATTCGCTCAGTAAACCATGGAAAGACGTCAGTTAAACAGCTTGTAATCAATGTCATGTATCGTCATATTTACCTCAGAAAACCCACGTCAACTCGTTAGGCAGCTAGAAAAAAATAACTCCAGAGAGGAGCATTTTGCTAAATATACACCATATTACATATGCATTATAATCTTAATGTTCTTCAATATTTAATGCATATTTGAATAAATCTAGCAACTGTTTATGACAGCCACCATTTAAATGTTTATATTTCATATAATCTTCTTATTATAAAATAAATAAAAGTGTAATTTAAGTGTTTGTATAGCTACAAAACTATAATTATTTATTATAGTTAATTATTACCTTCATATTAGGCTAATAAAGCCTAGTAGGGTACAAGTAGACTCCCATAGTTCACTGCATTAGTTAAGAGATTTGATTTCCTTGAGAAAAATTGCCATTTATTGTAACTGATATCCAAAATAATCGATATCGAATCGAAATCGAATCGAATTGCAAGCTTGTGAATCGAAATCGATTCGATTGTGAAATTTGTCTCAATACCCAGCCCTAGTAATTACAGTATGTCGGGCAGGGAATCCAAACATTTGTATATCATCCATCGGCCTCAAATATGGCTTATCATTTGAAACATGCCAGTAACTTGGCTGCTCTAACGTTAACCTAGATAAATGTGTGCAATTATCAGGCGAGTGAACCTTTTTCTTCTTAAGTGTAGGAAACTCAGAAGCCAAGACCAAGAGACTTGGTTGTATCTTCAGCAGGATTCTTTATTGAGAACAAAGCTGTGGATAGCTGCAGTCATCGTCAAGTATAAACGAAGGCAGTATACATTGTAGTTTAGATACCTGTCAAGGGGAAGGGATTACATAGAGGTGGAGACACTCTGAGACAAAGCATGTAAATGAAGTACAGGATTCAGCTTGTTTGCAGAGATTTTCTGATCTCATCAGCATAACAGGGTTATGTATTCAGCCTGATTAGATCACTTAAACCTTAAAGGTCCCCTGACATGGGGTTATTTTATTATTTATTTTATTGCCCTTATAATGTTAGTATGTTTTTTAGATTAAAATAGTCATAATTTTTAAAAGTTATGGTTAATTGTTAACCTTTAATAATTAAAGGCATTTTTCCTATCCTGATTTTTGCCTCTGATTTGAACACTCTGTTTGAAGGGGCATGTCTGCTGTGGGATTCAGTGTAACCAGCCACTGCTGTGATTGGCTGACATGCTTGCATATGAAATAGCTACATATAACATATGAAACTCTCTCAAATACTTTTACTACATTTATTATACGTTTTTACTATTACAGCTATTGAGATTACTGAATCGTGAGAAGTTTTTGAAGTATTTAGATCTATTCCTATCACATAAAAATGTTGCCGTGTTGAGCATAGAGCAAGCAGATGACAGACTGTTGATCACCAGAATGAAGATCTTATCATTGCAACAGTTTCTGCACTCTCTCTAATGCTTTCACCAATGCAAACACGATGATGTTGTACATACAGTAAGAGCTTTGTTGTGCAGTGTAACTTGCGTCATTGATTTCATAACGAGTTGTCTAGATAAACTTGCGCTGTGTGGAAAGATTGTTCTTTGATCGCTTTCTGTATAATTTGATCCCAATTTTAATAAGATTATTTTCATCCTTCTAAAAGAAATGATGTGAAGTTGGTATTTTAGTCACTGGCTTGACTTATGCATAAACAGTTTTGAACGATTTTGAGAGAAAGATTACCTGTCTGAACTTGAACAATTAGGCTACCCATCAGAAATTGTTGCTGGGTAGCTCGATCGATTTATTTTCAGACATTCATCGAGGCCAGCTCTGTATTGGCCCAAGTTGAAGAAATAGTCATCGATTCAATGTTTGGACCCTACAAAACTTTGGGAAGTGTGTTGGCGCATTTCCAGAGAAAATAAAATGAACCCATTGTTTCTTCAGATGTCATTTGTACATCCGAACACTCATTAACTGCCATGCTTCGCTCGTTTGCAAGCCATGAAACGTCTCTGGTTACTTACGTAACCAGATTGCAGATCCAGATTGCATCCATTTTGTTGGCTTTATCTTCTTGGAAGCGGGTAGGGGACTTACAAGCTACTCTGTTAATGAGTCATGCTAAAAAAAAAAATAAAAATGGACTTCGCTCCCGGTTTAGTCAAGTTTCCAAGAGACCTAGGCCAGGCTATGTTCCTTAGGTTCTCTCCACAGCGTTCCGCTCTCAGGTTGTTACCCTTAATGCTTTCCACCCTCCTCCTTTTTCTTCTGAGGAGGATAGGAAGCTTAATCTGCGCACGCGCGTATATACCTAGGTCTTTTGGAAACTTGACTAAACCGGGAGCGAAGTCCATTTTTTTTTTTTTTTTTTTTTTTTTTTTTTTTTTTTAGCATGACTCGCTAACAGAGGAGCTTGTAAGTCCCCTACCCGCTTCCAAGAAGATAAAGCCAACAAAAGTGAAACCTTAAGAGTCAGAATCCGATCCGGACTCCGCTCTCCCTTACTCTGGCCAGGACCGCCTGGATCAGTTGACGGGCGGGAAGGCGTAGAGTTTCTGCATTGGCCAAGGGTGGGCGAATGCATCTATCCCCAACGGAGCTGGAGGATTCAGGGAGAACCAAAGCGGGCATTGGGATGACTCCTGCGAGGCAAAGAGATCCACTTCCGCTTTCCTGAACACCTCCCAGATCAGGGCCCCTGTCTGACGGTTCAACATCCATTCCCCCGATTGGAGTTTCCGCCTCGATAGGAAATCCGCTGCGAGGTTAAGAATCCCTGGGACATGGACCGCTCTCAGAGAAAGGGACCTGCTCTGAGACTATAAGAGAAGATGACACGCATGCCTATCCAGGGTGCGAGATCGAGAACCCCCTTGCCGGTTTACATGGGAAACTACCGCCATGTTGTCCTTCCTGACAATGACATGGAGACCCTTTAGAAAAGGGAGAAAATGATGCAAAGCCAGGAAGACGGCTCTCAGCTCCAAGCAGTTTATGTGCCAAGCGAGGGTCTCGCCCGTCCAGACCCCACACACTGGTCTGCCCTCGAAAACTGCTCCCCAGCCGGTTAGAGAGGCATCCGTCGTAATCATCTGACGACAGAATACCGTCCCCATACTGACCGACACCCTCAACAGGCAAAAGGCTGGCCCAGTGGGCCGGATCACGAGAGCAACTGCCCGACACCCTCAACAGGCAAAAGGCTGGCCCAGTGGGCCGGATCCCTGAGAGCTTCATCCACCACAGGAAGGGGCTCATGAGGAGCAGACCCAGGGGTAGCACAGGGGAGGCTGTGGCCATTAAGCCCAGAAGCCTGCGGCAAGTGCCCACAGAAACACTATGGCCTAGCGAAAAACGGGCCAAACATGTCATCAAACTGCAAATCCGTGCAGGAGCCAAACGGGCCTGCATACGAACGGAATCCATGTGCACAAAGGGGAAGACCCTGTACTGGAACGCCCTTCCTCCAAAGGCGAACCTGAGGAACTTCAGTGACGCTGCACGACCTGGATGTGAAAATAGGCATCCTTGAGGTCTATTGTCACAAACCAATCTCCCGGCCGAATCTGAGATATGATGGCTTTCAACGGCGGATTCAGTCGGCGGAGGTCTAGAATGGGACACAGGCCGCCGCCTTTCTTCGGAACCAGGAAATAACGGCTGTAGAAGCCTTGTTCGGTTTCCTCCGCAGGAACCTCCTCTATCGCACCTTTGAGAAGGAGGGAAGAAATTTCCTGCTGTAGCACAGAAGCCTGAATGGCGCTGTCGACTACAGTAGGAAGGGGGTTGCGGCAAAACTTAAGAGTGTAGCCGAACCGAACTGTGCGAAGAATCCACGGCGATACCCCTTGTATTTTGCAAGGTGGCGGACATACCCCAAATGGGGTTATGTGTTGGCTCCCGTGGGGCGGAGCGATACAACGTGAAGGAAGGGAGTTGACGTCCTGACACGTAGAGGGGAGCACTATTGCCCGATTGGCAAAACCAACGGGTCCATCTGCTGCTGAGAGAAAACAAAAGTGTCTCCTGCGCGAGCGAAAGGAATCGGGTGAGTCGAGAGGGAGGGGAGAAAGCTGAGTGTGTCTCCTTCCTCCTGCTCCAGACAGTTTGGATACTGTTGAGGGGTGGCTGCACTTCGGGACACGCAGGTGGCGAAAGTGGCCGGTTTAGAAAAGGAGAGTAAGTGGGAGGTGGGCAGAAACGCATGCGCGGTCAGACCCAACCTCGTGGATAGAGAGAAGCTCTCCTTATTCTGACCTGCAGGTCAGGAACGATTCGAGGAGGCCTGAGCGAAGGGTATTTTAGACCGCTTCAGCTCGAGGCGCTTATGGGGCCACTGGCGAGGGAACGGGCGACCGCGGGCTCCATAGACCGTAGAGGGTGGGGGATGAGCCGAGTCACTTCTCCTGATGAAGGGGAGAGATGAGAAGCCAGCATGTCCTTAACCGCTAGGATGGCGGAATAACTCTGCTCCACAGAACCAACAAGGTTGGTGAAGTCAGCGGCTGCCGCGTTAAGCTGCGTTCACACTGCACGCGACCAAGCAACACGATACCATTCATTTTCAATGGTGAGCGGGTGACTTCCGGCGACAAGCGCGACAGCGTCCGTTGGGGCGTGTCCAGCGACGCAACACAGTTGGCGGACTGGGACTCGTGGGGCTCGTCAGGCCAGTCGATAGAGTTTCTCGGTAGCGCGCGAAAGCACGTCGACAAGCTCCATGTAGGCCGCGGTAGGCCGCGCTTCCTGGCCGCTAGGCGGGAGAGCATTTGAAGCTAAAACAGGCCCGAAATCCTCGGAGTCGGAAGCTGTGGTATAAATAATATCTTCCAGCCCGAAAGAAACTGATTCACATGCTCACGGGCTGGGACATAGAAAATCATGCGAGAATTCGACTGGTTGGCACCGCGTGCGTGCTCAGGAGACGGAAGGAGAGAAAGGCCATGGCCCGTCTGCTGAAACTCCATATCCTAGAGCTCTATATCTGAGCCCCAGGTCGCGGATTCAAACGAGGCCTAAGCGGCCTTGGGAGCGCGACGAGAGGGGACGAATGACTCCTTCTCAAACACCGCAAACCGCGAGCGGAGAGTTTGAGAAGGAGGTTATCACAAAATGTACATTTTGAGTTCCTAAAATAACCTCGCACGCATGCGAATACCCAAACACTTAATACACTTACCGTGCGGGTCGTCGTTCGCAAAGAAGCGAACGCATGGCGGCGGGCAACGACGATACTCCATGGCACTTCACCGCAAGGAGAACAGGGTTCCACTGAAAGCAGTCGCTGAAGTGCAGATGAACAGGTGAAATCCATCGAGATAATCCGTTGATACGGGCTAAGAAAAACCGAAGTCGAAGGGCGAAATGGCCGCTTCGTGAAGGCAGAGAAATCTGAGGGGAAGATGGCGCACGCGCGTATATGATTATGCGACGTGATTGCGTCGGGGCGGGGCCAGATTGCGCGAGCGCCATCAGCCAATGAATTGGCGTGATTCTATTAGGCTTCAGACAATCGGCACATTCAGAAAATATCCCACTGCGCTTTCCGCAGCGTTGAGTGAACCTATGAAAGAGAACATGGAAACATATTGAAAAGAAAATTATTTTTGCATATAAAGTATTATTTTTAAAGTAGGCCAATACATTTTATCATGCATTTAAGGATTCATTATTTTTAAATGTGCATTGCATTCGCTTGCATTGGATAACAGTTGATTCGTTTATTTTTGACAAATCATACTATATATTTAACATATGAGCAGAAACTGTCTAACTAAAGCTTATTTGATGTCTATTTTATAGTAAAAACTTTATAATCTATTTCGTCTGTAACAGTAGGCTATGCATCTGTGCGTTCGTTCGTTCACACACCCAGACACCGTTCATATTTAAACAGTCTTTTTGGTTTTACAGAGCTGTATAGAACAAATCTCAGTAGTCTATATAGTCTTACTAATGTAGGAGCGATGGTGAATGCACGCACAGTGCATGCGCGTCTGTCTGTGCGCATTTAATATTTAAACAGTCTTTGTGAAGTTTACAGACACTATTCAATAACGCGATTAGAACAAAGCACTTAAGAATAAATGACTTGCTACATCAGCTGAATCCGTGCTCCTCGAAATGAAACAGGTAACTGAGGTAACTTTTCCAGGATTATTATGACAGTGTTATTCCTCACAGCGCAGCAAGATGAGGTAAAGGTTAGATTTATGATAAATTGTATGTTTTAATGCTGATGTGGGTGTTTTCATGACTTGCCTCAACATTAGCGTTTGAATAGCGTGCGCTCTCAGTGGGCGTGGTCACATTAACACGTCATATGCTATAATTAGGTAAAAGGAAAAAGACTGACATCTCTCTGTTTTCATAAAGATTACATCAACTGAGAATAGTTGCTTTTTTATATAAATTGCTTAATTTAAAAGAAGAGAATTTCACCTTCATAAAAAGAAATCTTCCGTGTCCCTGTGACAAGTATTTACTGAGTTACAGTTCATTTTTCGGACGCGTTTCAGAAAGATTTTTGCCGAGACAGAGTGAGCTGACTCGACCTCAGAGGGTTAATGTCAGCAATTGCTCTTTAAATCTCATCTATGCCTCGAAATGGAAAACACTGCACAGTTTGAATACTATTGTATTGGAACCTAATTAAACATTTAATACATTTTCTAACACTACACAGTGTAGAATCTAGAGTATAGCACACTTTTTTTTCTGTCAACAGCGGAAACAACTTAAAATACTGTCATTTTTGGTCATACAGATAAGAGAGATTACATCTTTCTACTTTTATTTGTGTAAACTCGCAATAACAAGAAAAAGTTGTGCCTTTGTAAAATAAAGAAAACAAACAGGATAAAACAAAACTCAAGTGTATACTTGCCTCACAGACATGAGAAATATATTTTTAGAAAACTTAAACTATTTTTTCACAACACATTCAATTACTTTTCGATTACATATAATCATTACTTTTGCTCGTGTGCTGTGGCAAGCTTTATGCGCACACTTGAGGGCTGATTATGCTATGTATTTATAATAGGCAATTAAAAGCTCATTATCATGATTTATTTATTTGGCTTATTAATATGTGCATGTGATTAGTTGACTAATGGTTTAAATGAACGACTACTAGAAACAATTTTAGTAGAGGGCAGCCCTAAGAATTGACTTGCTACTGTATATTTTCATGAATGTGCCTTCTTAAATGAACAATAGCTAATTATTTATAATAGAAATGGTCATTTAAGTGCCTTCTTAAATTATATACTGCGCTTTGTATGATAATTTCATTCTAGAAGCCATCTAAAAATGCCCCCTCTTTCTTGCCATAGACACCCACTCTTTTAAAAAAATGGAATTCCAGCCAGCAGAGGCAAAGAAGTTCTTTAGCACTGTAAGGAAAGAAATGGCCCTGCTGGCCACCTCTTTACCTGATGGCATCATGGTGAAGACTTTTGAGGACAGAATGGTAAGTTTGCCTTGCACCCTATATATTTATGAACTCTTGCTAGATTTTTTTGATTGTTGCATTTAGTTTTTTTTTTACAAAGTATGTAAAACAATTGAAAAAAAAATACATCAAATGTTACCCTTTTCTTTGATTAACATATCCTGTTGTTTTCTTCAGGACCTTTTCTCAGCTTTCATTAAGGGCCCTAACCGCACTCCCTACGAGGATGGACTCTTCCTCTTTGATATTCAGCTTCCTAATATCTATCCTGCTGTTCCTCCTCTCTTCCGTTACCTGTCTCAGTGCAGCGGCCGACTTAATCCCAACCTCTATGACAATGGGAAGGTTTGTGTCAGTCTTCTCGGCACCTGGATTGGAAAGGTGAGCTGACCTACTTTCTGTTCTAATTTCTGACTGATATGTTTGTTTTTCAAACAAACTAGTCACCTCTTTGCACTCCCTTTGGTCATTATTCTTTGTTACTATGTTGCATGAATTAAATTTTTGTCCTTCCAGGGGGTCGTATGCCAAATGAGTTACTTTTGGCCATTTTCTAATGTCTCTCTGACCTTTGGAATTAAATGGCCCTTTTTTGCTATTGTACAGTTGGTGGACAACCAGAATGCCACTTATCGCCGCAGCAAGTGCCGCGGTAAACCCACCGCGGCACAAATAAACCAGCCGTATTTCAAGGTCGTTCGCGAGATGACCACCAGGTGGCACAAAGGGGCATTTAGCGAAAGCAAAACGTAATTAAAGTTGCAAGCAGCGATGGGCGGGCCCTCGCACCTGTAGCGCGTTGGGGTGTGAGACGGCCGCTTTGCATATTCTGGAGCTCAGCCGGTGTGGCTGTGAATTTGCTACGCATCCAAATCACCCAAAAATTGAAGTAAAATTCAAAATGGCCGACTTCCTGTTGGGTTTAGGGCATTGCTCCAAGAGGCTTTTTTGTACGTCTGGACATGATCCATGTGCCACAGAAATTCCGTACATGTAAGTCAAACGTGTGGTGGAGGCTGCTTCATTAAAGGTCACTTCCTGTTGCCAGCAGGTGGCGCTATGCCTGGGATAATTTTGGCATGTACATGTTTTCAGAGCGGGACTGTTGTATAACGTATAAAATTTTTGCGCAGGTCTGAGGATGTACACTAAAGTTACAACAACTTCCTGTTTCATGGCGAATCGTCGATGCCTCGGACACGCCCATTGACGAAAACGCGCAGATAGCACACCTTTTCATTGTCAATGCCTTTAGAAGGCACAGCAGAAATGTGAAGTCGATCCGACTAAATCCCTAGGAGGAGTTTGTTAAAGTACGTAATGAGTAAATCATCCAAAAATGGCGGTAAAATTAGAACTGGCCGACTTCCTGTTGAGTTTAGGGCATCACTCCAAGAGACTTTTCTGTGTGTCTGGATATGGTAGATGTACCACAGAAATTTCGTACATGTCGGTCAAACATGCGGCGGGGGCTGCTTCGTTAAAGGTCACTTCCTGTTACCAGCAGGTGGCGCTATGACTGTGGGTGAATGTCGGCATGTAGATTTGTTCAGGGTGCAGGGTTCGTACGGGTGCTTGAAATCTTTGAAAATGCTTGAATTTTGATATTGTGTTTTCAAGGTTTGAAAAGTGCTTACATTTTGGATAAAATGCTTGAAAGTGCTTGAAATTGTAACTGTTTCTTACACAACAAATACCTATCTGACTGAATATTTTGTTTATTAAATGGCGAAATAAATCGTTTGCTGCGGCCCAAGCGTGATTGTTCCCGGTGTTTCCCGCAGCGTTGGCCTGGTTTCACACTCATCTATCGAATCCTGGTGCGTTTGCGTGCATCTTACGTCATCACAAACGTGCACGACGCATGATAGAAACAATAACACCAAATTAATAAAAAAAACATTACTGTATTTATTGCGCTTTTTTTATTAATTTGGTGTTATTATGCACAGCTGAGTGAACAACACAGGTTGTGTATTGCATTTGCCTCTCTGCTGATTGCAAACGCAGGAGAAAGTGGACTTCTAATAATTTGTTGGCCTGAGTCGACGCGCTATATGTGTGTGTGCGAATACACTGCAGACTCACTCTCACTTGTATCCAAGGTAAATCAACATTACACTATCATCCCTTACATGTGTTTTATTTAACTAAATACATCATAATCAGCTGAAACACATGCGCAGGTCACTTTACTTAGTGATTCCGTGATTCTTTCACATTCACGCGAACCGCGGCACGGTTCGGGAGCAGCCGAACTCAGAGCACCTCCTCCAGGTAGTCTTGGATTCGGTAGCCTACCTAAAATTACAAAATAGGCAGCACGAATTATATATTTCTAACTCCAAACAATTGGCCACTGAACCAGCTGATAAATCTTCATTTGATAAGATCCGTGATTACAACTTGACACTCAAATGAACCGATCGCATTTTACTGATGCAAAAGATGCGCGCACACACACTGAGAGGGAGCTCGGTGTGTCAGTGTGTGTGTACCGGTTGTGGTAACATATTAAATAATGACGCAGTTACAAGGTGTGTATAATATAAACTACTTAGTCAACATTAACAGTAGATGCTGTTCGGTTTTCTTACTGCTGCTATCCTTCTAGTCACTTCTGAACTTGACACAACTGAACGTCAGGTGACGGGTTGCCAGATATCACAAAAAGAGCAAAACAAGCCCCTTAAAAAACGCAGTATAATAAGCAGAAAAATGTACCAGGGAACACATTTAAACATAATAGTATTGCTAATATTATCCTACCAAATTAAAAGGAAGTTACTAATTTATTATGAATAGAATAGTTCAAAATAAAATATTTAGATATTATAAACTGATTGATGAGGTAAAGCAATAACATGAGATTGAAAAATTATTCAGAAACACTTTATTTAAAGTTTAATTGCACCTATGAGTTGTATTTAAGATCAGTCAGTGTTCACTGTATGTATAAATAACTACTGATATATACTACTGATAATAACTAATATCTTTACCGTGAAATAAAATTAGTATTACCGGCATGAAACAGAATTTTGGTCATACCGCCCACCCCTATGTCATTTGGATCAAATCCTCCAACAACATTTTAAAAAAATAAAACCTGTGTTTTGCTTCAATATCTGATCCTTCTGCTATTACGAAACACAATTTTGGCTGTATATTTCATATTAGCCTATCTCTTTTAATGTGGAAAAACCACTAAATAATATTTTTTTTACTATGCATTGTTTTGTAATTTACGGTGGATAAGGTGCTGGAAAAAGCTTTAAAATGGACCTTGAAAGTGCTTGAAAAGTGCTTGAATTTGACCTAGGAAAAGGTGTACGAACCCTGAGGGCGGGACTATTGTCAAATGTGTAAACTTTCGTGCAGATCTGAGCATTTAGTTTCATGGCTTTTTTGTGCGTCTTGATATGATACACATCCCCACCAAATTTCGTGCATGTAGGTTGAACGTGCACGAGGGGCTAATTTTTTCCAATTTTCTAGGTGGCGCTAGCGAGCCATTTTGCCACGCTCATCCGCGAAACCCACAAAATACGAAATTTTTCACCAGTCCTGACATGCGTGCCAAATTTGGTGAGTTTTTGAGCATGTTTTTGAGGCCGCGAAAATGGCGCTTACTTTGCAGAAAAAAATAAAAAAATAAAAAAATAATCCTAACAGTTTCAGTAGGGCCTCGTACAGTTAGTGCTCGGGCCCTACTTGTGTAAAAGTAGCCTACATTTTAAATAGAATATAGCTTTAAATATAAACTTTTATAGCAGAACATTTTATTAATTAAAATAGGTCTATCTCGCAGTCAGTGAAAATAAATTGGGTGCTTTTAATGACGCTATTGAGGAAAGAGAAGACTGAAGAGCGCTTCTCTCATGTGCGTGCACACTGACTGCTGAACAACCGAACTTCTGGGCATTTCTCAGTGAGAAAAGTTGTGGTTGAGTGGTAGATCTTGGGTTCAATCATTTTGATGAGACTGTTTCAAATCCCGAATAAACATGGTATTAAAATTACCATGCATTTCCATTTTACACTATGGAACAAATCTCTTACCTGCTTTTGAAGATGTAAATTCAGTCAATCTGTTATGTTTTAAAAAAAATAATAATAATAATTAAAACTTAATGGGGTTCCATGTAGATTTTTTTTTTAAACATAACCTAAGCAAGTTGCGATTTACTGGTGGGGCATTTCCCCCTCCACAGTAATCAATGCTATAATTAGCCTAAATAGACAATATCAAATATGTATATATACATTGTTCGACAAACGCGGCGGTGCTCACTTGAATTTATTTTTCTCATAACAGCTAAAATAAAATCATTTTTTAAAACTGTAAAAGGTGTACTTTTTTCATGTAAAGTAGGCTTACACTCACAATAGGTTAAAGACAAAACGTCTTCTCGCTCATTTGAGCGCACACTCACTGGAGATGCAAAGTGTGAGCATTTCTCTGTGAGCTGAGACATGGCCGAGTGGTAGAACTTACGGTTCGAACATTATAATGACATCGGTACGAAGCCCGGTCAAACATAGACTACCGTAGTTAATTTTTTTATATTTAGGCTATTAATGCAGAAAGATTTGTCTAGTTCTAAAACTGTTACACCATTTAGTTTTTTTGCTTTTTTTTTTGCTTAAAAAAAAATATTATGCATTTCCATTTTATACAAAGGAAAGAACAAATAGTATCCAACAGAATGACTTCTTTACATCTATAATAATACCAATCCTAATTTCAAAAGCAGTTCTGTAAATATATATATAAACCAACTTTATCTATATATTTATATGGGGTGTAACAGTTCACAAAATTCACGGTTCGGTTCGATACGATACACTTGTGTCACGGTTCGGTACGTTTCCAATACAGCAAAAAGAAAGAAATGGCCTTGATTTTAATTTTTTTAATTATATTTTTATTAAAACTAACATCATAAAGTATGATATTTTTTAACTTTGAGCAATGATGGAACTATACTTGACTTTTCTTAGGAGCATATAAAACAAAACAGCTCCTTGGACAAAATGAAATGTAATATGGTAGTAGTTATAAACAAAGGTTTATTTTAGTTTAGATTAACATTTGAGGGCAGCAATTGTATTGATATGTCAAAATAAAACCAACGTGATGTTATTTGAAATCATTATAGCCTACTATTCCTGCCAAACTTAGTTAGTAGTGTTATACAGTAAATTCATGGTGAATGTTGCTGATCTGTGGACACTGGATTGTTCATTCATGGCACAAAGTTTCTTCCTGGTTTCCACGTCAGCGCTGTTTGATCCGTTAATAACGGAGAAATGTGAATGTTTCTCACCAGATCTCGCAGCGATGTTATTACTTGAGTGGCAAATTCAAATGTTTTCTTTACTGGATTTGGCTGTGTAGTAACAGTGCTGCTTGATTAAGATCGGCTCGCGCTGCATTGGTCCAAACTGATAAACGGTCCGTCATCCAGACAACCACACAATAACGAGTAGCTCAGTTTTGTTCCGTCTACATTACATTTGCCATTTGATGCTGGGCAATGTTGTGGTCACGCCAGCGTCTCTTTATGAGTGCGCCTGAATTTGAAATAATGAAATTTTGGTCGGCAGGAAAAATGAACCGAACGAACCGTTCGGTTCAAAAATGCGTACTGAGAACCGAACCGAAAGCCTCGTACCGAAAGCCTCGTGTGTGTGTGTGTGTGTATATATATATATATATATATATATATATATATTGGCAGGAATAGTAGGCTATATATATATATATATATATATATATATATATATATATATATATAAAGATAAAGTTGGTTTATGTATATATATTTACAGAACTTCTTTTGAAATTCGATTGGTATTATTATAGATGTAAAGAAGTCATTCTGTTGGATACTTAATCTGCTACCAACTTTCAATTAATCTGCTACCAACTTTCAGTCGCTCTGAATGAGCCGCAGCACGGCTGCAGATTACACAAAAAAAACTGACCCTTTTCAAAGTCTGTGATTGTAGCGCCTCTTAGCAGCAAAAGGCAGCAAATAAATCCTAAATTTTATCGCCACAGCGGTAAAAAACGCATTCTGGTTGTCAACCTACTGTATCTGCAGGACTATGAATAACATGTTATGAGTGACTACAATTTTTATGTAGCATTAGTAGAAACTTTAGGAAACTTGGCAAAAGAATGTTCTTTGCATTCTTGTTTAAAAATTTAGTTCTGAAAGTCCATATACATGCATATCAAACTCTTTACTTCAAAAGATCAATTTTGATTATTTGATTGTTAATATGATTCATGAAAAGAACAATTTGGCTTTATCACCAAATCCTTTATGCCATTAATCATTGTAATCATTATGATTGACGAATGATATGTAATCATTGTATGATTATTGGTCAATGCTGACGTGTGTTTTTTGTTATGTTTTCCTTTTACAGGGTACTGAAAGATGGACCAGCAAATCCAGTCTACTGCAAGTGCTTATCTCTATACAAGGTTAATTCAAAATTTATATAGTATAAAACAGAGTATATTTTTGTGGTAAGTTTTCAAACTTTATTTAGGTTGAAAACCATATTTAGGTTCAAACCCACAAGGGATGTTTTGATTAATGCAGTAGTTACTCTACTTTTCATTTAATAATATCTACATTAAAATGACATTTCATGTGTCATTATTTATTCACCCTTATGGTGTTCCTAAACTTTTTTTCTTCTGTGTAACATAATAGAAGATTATTATTATTTTTTTTTTTTTTTTGGTTCATACAATGGGGACCAAAACTGTTTGGTTTCCAACATTCTGTCATCTACAAAATGGTAAAGAATATATTTTGAAGAAAGTCAAAGTCAAAGTAGAATTTTTATATTTGGTTGAACTATTCCTTGGATTATCACTCTTGGATGGTCAGACTTTGGGAATTTACATTTAAAACTTTAAAAAATATTAAACGTAATTTTAATTGTATGATTTCAGTAGAGACACTCATGTTTTTGCTATTGTACCTACAAGACAATGAATAACATTGTAACATTTTTAAGTATAAAATATTTTGTCTCCACCCCTTTAGGTCTGATCCTTGTCAATGAGCCATACTATAATGAGGCTGGCTTTGACAGTGACCGAGGACTTCAAGAGGGTTACGAGAACAGTCGCTGCTACAATGAAATGGCACTCATTAAGATGGTGCAGTCAATGACTCTACTTCTCCAGCAGCCTGTGGAGGTCTTTCAGCAGGAGATCTGTGAGCACTTTGCCTGTAATGGCTGGCGGCTGGTCCATCGGCTGGAGTCCTGGCTAGATATGGATGGGGGAGTGACCGACCGTGCTTCACGATGTGGGGTTGGCAGCTTCCATGCAGAACCTTTGGAGGAGATCCCCTCAGCTCTGGCCCACAGTAGTCCAAGCAAACAGGTTGTGCGACGTGAAGAGGAACTTGAGGACTCAGGTCTCAGTCCTTCCACAGTGGGGCCCAGTTTACCTCCTGGATCAGCCGGGCAACAGGACCTGAGCCAGAACTCTGATTGTGATAGCTCAGTGGTGTGTGGTGCAGGATCAGAAATACCAGAAGGTTTTGAAGGGGTGTCTGGTTTTGTGACATCTCAAAGTGTAAAACCATGTCAGGAGTCTCAGCCGGCTGTGAGACCAAAGAAGCGGAGAAAGAGCTATCGGAGCTTCCTACCAGAGCGCAGTGGCTATCCAGATATTGGATTCCCGCTCTTCCCTCTTTCCAAAGGCTTCGTAAAGAGCATGCGCGTAGTTTTGCAGCAGTATCGAGCTACTCTTACAGCTGCTGGCGTTCCTGAATACCCAGAAAACAAATAATTGCCCTCCATTTGTATTAAATTGTATTTTTCCCTTTTTTCTCTTCTCCCTGTTTATTCAACCCAAGAGCTGTGTTTTTCCCCTTTAACCATTGGCCAGGAACTTGGATCTCCTCATCAGGCTGTAAATGTTCCCAGCAGCCTTTTGTTAATTGCTTTGTAGCACATCTTTAGTTGCTTTGTTTGTTGTTTCCTCTCATTGGTCATGGGATGGCAGCACATACTATTTGTTTGTATTAAATAATGTTGAAATATCATATGCTTCTATCTTGTTTCCCTGACAACAACTCTGCCGTTACACTGCTCTCTCAGGGAAGTATGGACAGATATGAGACATTAAGAGATACCTAAGGCATGACTGAATCTTTTGTTGTGTTGTGACTTACTTTTCAAGATTTGTGGTTATAAACCGTGCCAGAGGGATACTTCTATTGGTCTTAGGTGTTGTCCTTTGCTACTGTTTTTTTTTTTTTTTTTTTTTGGATGGGATTACCACCAGACTGTTACCACATATTGATTTGCACAAGTGGAAGTTCGCTTGCAGAAAAAAGGAGTAAGAATGAAGTTTTAGATCAGATGTGATCTGATTTTTTTTTTTTAGTCCTTGGTTCATCAAATAACTATATTTCCAAGCGTGACTTCCTCTTTGGTCCATATTTCCAAATGTAGTGCTGCTTTATATGTTGCATTGCTTTTCAGTCTTGTTCAATATCATCATTCTTTTAAAGGTCTTGGTGACTTGCTTTTTTTATCCAAAAAAGACACTGTTGTACAACTGCCTAGTCATCTATACTGTACAGAGCCTGATCATTCCTGCTGGTGTTTTGCACTAAAATCATATGACAGTTGAGTGTCAAGTTTACATTTAAAATACAAAAAGCAACCAACCAGACACACTAAACTACTCTTGACTCCTTAACTGGAATCCTAACATCCCCTTTCCCTCTCCCTCAAATTCCATGGCACAACAGAAATATTTTCAACTTTACTAACTAGTGTTCTCTGTACAGTAATATTATTTACAACTTTTCTTACACTTTTGCCAGAAAGATATATATCATAAATCCAGTTTACACATATGTAAATAGATGATGGGACCTTTGGAATGAGGTTGGTTAGTCTTCTATACATGTGAGAAGGAACCCAGAGTCAACTAATCATTTGAAGAGGTTTGGCAGAATTTTTTTTTTCTTCTCCATTGCGCTTTGCTTGCATGAAGGTCTCTGGTTTGAACACTGACGAGTTCCACCATTCCCATTCCTAACTCTTTCATCTGTCCAACATTGTTGCCTTAAAACTGATATCAAGCTTGAACCTAGGGTTAACATTTTTTTACTGCATTGTCATTTTACACTAAGGGGCCCAGTCAAAATACTCGTTATGGTGGAGAGGCATATATTTTACTAATTATTTTCACAAGCACAATCGAAGAAGTCATATTCTTTCAACAACTGTGAAATGGTTTGTGTATTTGCTTGTATAGATTTTTGTTTGGTTTGATACACTTTAATCAACTTTTTCCTGATATCATTTGTATCTTTGTTAAATGATTTAGAAAAAGCTTCATGTTAATCCTGGTGCTGTGGTTCTCCAGACTACTTGGAGGCAGCAGACTAGTTTCAGACAGTTCCGACCTCATTCACATCATTTGTTTACATCAACATCAGACCAGCTGTAATTAAGCACAGCCCATAGACACAAGTTTTACATGCAATAGATCCATATAATTTTCTTAGTTTTGCACAAAAGGGAATGCTCATAATTACATTTGCTACTACTGGAAGGCAGATCTTTTTTTTTTTTTTTTTTTTTTTTTTTTCTAACCAGCATACTTTCTTGCTGTAGATTGGCTTTTCGTCTGACTGGCAGATATGTAGATGTAATATACTGCTGATGTTTTTCTGCACGTTAGCATTCAAGTCTTTTGAAAGACAAAAATAAATTTCTGGCTGATGGCTTTGTGCCATCTTAAGAAATTAGCATACATGTTTCCCTGCACAAGTTGCTTCCAGTAATATTTTTGAGATGTTTTAGATAAAATTATATAATTTCTTCTTTTTCTCTTGAATTTATAGCTTATTACAGTTTGGTATTTGAGGAAAAATATGCTTTATCAAATTGTTTCATATGTACATTTTGCTCCGTTAACAGAGATTCCAAGTCTCTCTTCCTCTAACTCTTTTTCAGCAGTTCAGCCCTCCATGATTTGTTTTTAGTACATTTCCTACATGTAAAGCTAAGTTTCAAGCGAGAATCAGACATCAACTTTAAACTAGGAACTTTTTTCTGTGTGTGTAATATACTATACATTTAATCAAACTGTTATGAGGAGAGATAACAGCCAAAGCATGTAAAGTTGCTTTAAGCCTTAATGGCTACATGAGACTTGACTGTATAATGTAAACATTTCCACAGTGGCCTGTATTGGTAAACTAATAAACATGATTTGTAGCCTGAATCCTCTGTACAGAAGTCATGACTATAGAAATGCATATAATATATAAATTATATATTTAACAGAAAAGTGGTCATGTGAATGCTTGGGGTATGTCGTGGAGTGTGTTGTGTTATTCATTATTTATTTTTTTGCTTAATTTGTAATTTTTTATTTTGGTTGCACTAAATGTAAAAATGGAAGCATTAAACTTTGATAGCAGAACCATGGGAAAATAGTGTCGATTATCCTGTTTTGTACTTAGGTATTCATTTTTTTTATTAGGAATTGATCATGCATTGGAATAACAAACATGCATTTAAACAAACTTTTATTCAAAAAATAAAAGAGAAATGCTTTCTCTTGCTTTGACTTTCCAATAGAAAAAATAGAGTGAAAAAATAAGTACTCAGACAATATAACGTGACTTTAAACAGTATAAAATGAGTCAGCCACTTATTCCAAAACATGGAGTTGAGCATTAAATCTGCTTTGACATCAATTTTGAACTTGATGGTATTGTTAGGATACATTGGTTACTTAAAAGGTAACCAATGTGGCTTCCACATGCCTATCAGACAACTGTATTCCCTGTCCCTAATATGAATACATTTATTCATATCTTGACTTACAACAATCAGATATATTTTAGTATAATTTAGTAACATGCAATAGTTAGTACAAGATGATTATTTCACCATGTTAAGGCACATCAAAGATTTTGAAGCATTTATATCGTAAGACATTAGATATTACATTTATAGTGCAAAACTATGCAATGTAAATAAGTCACAATCATTACTCGGTAATACTGCACAATATAGTAAATTAGCAAATACGTTTTTGCAAAGAAATTAGTTCATATTAAACCACTATATTCCAATTAGGGTAGACTGGGTACAGTTGAGACACCTTTAATAACTTGGTGCGCAGCCAGCACAAGTTGTTTTTTGCTGTGCACATGCGTATTAGTGTCCTCTTTGATCGTGGGAAATTTGATCAACTCCGCTCTGAAGATATCGGCAAAAGTTTTTTTTGTTCGCTTCACCATGCACACTCCACAATGAATAGCTTATTATCCTTATGTGACTGTTAAACATAACTGGTATAATAACAAACATTATTCTGTGCCCTAAAAATGGACATATTTCATGGTATTGTGTCATTGCAAAATCTAGAGAAATGCGCGAGGTGGCCATCAGCTACCCGCGATAGAGTTTTATTAGCCTACGTCACACGCGGTTTAGTTGTTGTTATGAGGTATATTTGCCTGGTATATTTGTGATATTTAAACTGTGTATTATTAAAGCTGCAGTCCTTAACTTTTTTTAGTTAAAAATATCCATAATAATAGTAGAGAGGTTAAGCGACTTTTGACTTCAAGTCATGATGCAAAGGTCCCCTTTGGTATGGAAGTACCTTATGGCCATAGAAATAAATTTATCCTAAGACACAAGTGAGATCACATTTTGTTTCTTATATACGCACATTTTTTTTAAATGGCCGCCAACCGTACTTGAGAGGCCCATATCTTTGCTTCTGTTAGAGCTATAATGACAAATTTGGTCTCAAAGTGTACATTTTTGTAGTCAAGGAGTCCAATAAAGTAGGTTCCATGACTAAAAAACAATAATGTTGTCCTTACCATGACAATTGGAGGTGAAGTATGCGATTTTTTTATCAAAAAAAGCATGCCAAACGAATCGGTTACCTAACGTAACCTCGGTTCTCTCTAGATGAGGGAACAAGTATTGCGTAAGCTAGCTTACGCTACGGGAAAGATTCTTCTTTGCTGAGAAGTTGAAGCCAAAAAATGATTACATAATTTTGTAATCATTGTCAACGCAGTATCTCTGAGGCAGACCATGAGCGGGCTAGCTAGCAGCTCATTGGTTCGCTCAGAGAGAATGCACGAACCTATGGGAGAGCGGCGCTGAGCCCGCGGCCAATGAGCGGACGGCGTTTGCTCATTGCGTCAGAGCCCGCCGAAAGGGGCGTGGCTACAGTGTATAAAAGTAGCTCTCCCAGGCTCGTTCGTTGATTCTGTCAGCATGAAGCGAAACGCTGGTGGCGCAAGCACGGCCGGGAACGCAATACTCGTTCCCTCATCTAGAGAGAACCGAGGTTACGTTAGGTAACCGATTCGTTCTCTTACGAGAGGTTCTCTCGTATTGCGACGCTACGGGAACATCTGGTCAACGCCGTGCGTGCTATGTAACCACTAAGCATCCCAGGGGGAAAAACACCGGAGGAATCTTAAGTGGACGAAGACAATAAGGCGGCCAGCATAGCGGCCGTTATCATCTAGTGCAAAACGCCCTAAAGGCGGCCGGCGTAGCGGGCCGTGAACGTATAATGCATAAGCACATAGGGGAAAACACAAGGGGCGAGCCGGTTGTGATAGGACTCCCAATAGTGCGGCTTCCTATAGGAGAGCTGTATAGTACTAGACCGCCAGAATTTTAGCCTGTAAGGCGGGAACTTCCAAGTTATAGAATCTGACAAAAGTGGAGGGGGAGGCCCATCCCGCAGCCACACAAATGTCGTGAATGGAAATTCCGCAGGACCATGCCCACGATGAGGCCATGCCTCTGGTGGAATGAGCCCGGACGCCCAGTGGGCAAGGCAGGTCTTTTGAGGCATAAGCAGAGGCAATCGCATCTACTATCCACCTGGATAGTGTCTGTTTCGAGGCGGCTAACCCCTTGGTGCGGCCGCCGAACGACACAAACAGCTGCTCCGAGCGTCTGAACGCAGCAACGCGTGTAGTGTACACTCTGAGAGCCCGGACCGGGCAGAGGCGATCAGCGTCACGTTCGCTATCGGATGCAGGCAGCGCCGATAGAGAGATCACTTGCGCCCTGAAGGGGGTACCAATCGCTTTCGGAACATAACTGTGTCTAGGTTTCAGAATGACAATGGAGTCATTAGGTCCAAACTCAAGGCACACGGCGCTTGAAGACAGCGCGTGAATGTCCCCCACACGTTTTACTGAGGCGAGTGCAGTCAGAAAAACGTTTTTTTGCGAGAGGTATTTTAGTTCCACGGACTCGAGTGGTTCAAACGGTGGGGCTTTTAAAGCTTCTAGGACTATAGAAAGATCCCAGACCGGCACCTTGGGGGGGCGAGGGGGGTTCATCCTTCTGGCTCCCCTGAGGAAGCGGATGATTAGCTCGTCTTTGCCCAAAGACTGGGCGCGCCGGGGTTCAACGAACGCCGTGACGGCTGCCACGTAAACCTTTAGAGTGGATGGGGACCTGCCCTTATCCAGCATCTCCTGAAGGAACACGAGCAAAGACGAAACCTCGCACGTCCGTGGGTCCAAGTTTTTGTCGGTGCACCATCTAGAGAACACAGACCATTTTGCAGCATAGAGCTTTCTGGTAGATTCCGCTCTGGCGTGTTTGATCGTGTTCAGAACCCCTTCTGGCAATTCGACGCGTAGTCGTTGGTCACCCATGCATGAAGCGCCCAGCGCTGTGGATGGGGATGCCAGATCGAGCCGTGGGCTTGAGTGAGGAGATCTGCTCTGATTGGAATGGGCCACGGGGCTGTCCGTGACAGCTGCGTAAGCTCCGGGAACCAAATCTGATTCTCCCAGCGCGGGGCTATGAGGAGCACCGAGTGACGTGAGTCCCTGATTCTCTGAATGACCTGTGGTAGCAGAGAAATCGGGGGAAAAGCAGAGAGAGGCCAATCCTGGGCTAACGCGTCCTCGCTCTTTGAAAAGAATATCGGGCAGTGAGCGTTCTCTTCTGACGCGAAAAGATCTATCTCCGCTCTGCCGAATAGGCGCCACAATGTTTGGACTGTTTGAGTGTGCAGGGACCATTCTCCGGGGGAGACAAGGTTCCTGGACAGCATGTCTGGACCGTCGTTCAGATGGCCCGGTACGTGCGTCGCGCTGAGCGAGAGCAGGTGACTCTGGGACCACAATAGGATGCGGCGCGTCAGATGAAAGAGATTCTTGGATCTGACCCCGCCCTGACGGTTGATGTAAGATACCACAGCCGTATTGTCTGAGCGAATCAGGACGTGGTGGCCGTGTATGCACGGGAGGAAAAACAGCAGCGCGTTCTCGACCGCGATCATTTCCAGACAGTTTATGTGTAGGGAACTCTCCTGGCTCGACCACTGGCCGGCGGCCGGTGAGCCCTCGCAGACCGCACCCCAACCCGAGTTGGATGCGTCTGTCGAGATGACCTTTCGTCGAGAAAAGGTTCCCATGGTAACGCCCCTCTGAAACCACTCGATTACTGACCATGGCTGCAGTGCAGTGATACATGTCTGAGTAATCTTGATAATCTGGCGGCCCGTAGTCCACTCGCGGTGGGATACGCGGCTCTTTAACCAGAGTTGAAGGGGGCGCATGTGCAGAAGACCCAGCTGTAGCACAGCGGATGCTGGGTTAGCCATATAACCCAGCATCCTCTGAAAAGATTTCAGGGATGTGTGGGTACCCATCCGAAAAGAGGCGGCTAGACGCTGAACACGGCGCGCGCGCTGTGTGGATAAGCGAGCCCTCATCGTGATAGAGTTCAAATCTATTCCAAGGAATGAAATAGTTTGACTGGGCTGGAGAGAGCTCTTTGTCCAGTTGACAGAGAGTCCCAGCGCTTTCAGATGGTTGAGGAGAACTGCGCGGTGCGACAGAAGCTCCGTCTGGGAATGTGCTAGAATCAGCCAGTCGTCCAGATAGTTTAGAATGAGCAGCCCCTGACTCCGCAGGGGGGCGAGCGCTGTATCCATGCACTTCGTGAACGTACGGGGTGCTAAGGATAGGCCGAACGGGAGAACGGCATATTGGTAAACCTGACCCTCGAAGGCGAAACGTAGGAATGGCCTGTGATGAGGGTTTATCTGGATCTGAAAATAGGCGTCTTTCAGGTCTAGAGAGATGAACCAGTCCCCCTGGCGGACGTGCGCGAGGAGTTTCTTGACCGTGAGCATTTTGAACGGTCTCTTCATGAGCGCTTTGTTCAAAGCCCTGAGAACTAAGATTAGCTTCCCACGCTTCGCAGCATGCGGCTAGCGGTTGAATGGCGATTTCGCCCTGGTTGCTGCACATAGCGGGCTGGACACTGAGTGTGGGTGCGCTTAAATTGTGTGTGGCAACGGGACTTACACTCAGAGAGGAGTTTATGGGCCGTGTGACAGAGCGAGCAGAGGGGGGACACGCGCATGGGCTCGTGGGCGTGTTTATGTTCTCTGCTACTAGAGCGGTTAGTGACTGCTC